TGACAAGTCTATCACATTTGGACTACTGAAGGATTCCTAGATAAAAGTCACGTATGTCTTAAAATTACAAATATTAAAACTATTTTGTAATACTTAGGAGATGCTGAAATGGAAATATACCTATTTCCATCAACCAATCACAATAGATAATTGATATATTAAGAAAACAAAAGCACAAAAGGTCACTCCAAAGTCTCTTTCAAATCTCTGTCTTACTTCCTGAATGGCAGCTTTGCCATGGAAACTGAAGAGCAACGTAAGACCAGCTTCAGGGCACCAAAATTACAGCCGCCTTGAGACTGCAGTGATTTTTAATCCATCCTTCAAACCATCATTTTTGCAACCAAGAGCCCGGGGCGTTCGCTCTTCAGTGAGGTAACACCCCCTTTCTGCTGACAGCCCTTTATTTGGGATTAAGCAGCGCCACGGGTACGGGACTTAAATACGGGCGCTTATTCATAGAGGAAAACAGTTTCGTAAGCTACTAATGTTATATTCTTTGCTGGGATAAGAGCACTTAAGATGCCAGAGAAAGAAGTATATTTGGAAATGGCCTGGAAACTCTCCTATGTCGGTACTGGTGGCAGGCGGGAGCTGCCCTTCTACTGACTGTTAGCTACTCAGTGGCTGCCACCACTGTGGGCAGCCGGGTGCCCCTGCCGGAGCAGAGCTGGGCGAGGCGCTGAGCGGCCAGGGCCCTAACTCCGGGCCTCCCTCTGCTGTCCTGAGCGACCTGTGGGGTGTGGGAAGTAAGGGGAGCAAGCTCTCATTCTTCCCCTCAGTATTCTCATCTGAGCATCCTCAACTAGAAAGATGATCAGCCCTGGGAATGGTCCAAATGCGGGTCCATCGGGTGGCCACACAACTAGGGGATGCTAGGGTGCTACAGGCACTGACTGGATCTGTGCCAGGGAACCAAGTACCCTCTCTGTGTGGGACAGTCATGCATATACAAACAATGTAAAACTAAGACTTTCTAGACCTCAGGATGCCCTATGATTCTAACTTGTGTTTTATAACCACATCTATGACCATCATGCTTTATATCTCAGATCGTAAATTCTAGTAGAATCTCTATTAAAAAGTGGAGGGAAAAGAACAATCCTTGAATTTCAGCTGTCCCATCAAAATTTGCTTTTCAGAGTTCAATCCTTTACTTCTATCAGAACCTTTAAAAAAGCGTTTCTCTAATAACGTAATAAAAATTTTCCTAGTAGTGTTGGCCTTTTGTTTACCAAATCTGTGTCCCGAGATTATAAACCATATTACGAGCTTTTTATTTGCAAAGTACTCCATCTAGCTATGTGCTAATTACATGTAAACGGCTAGAGGCCACTGCATCATCCTGAGAGTCTGGACTTCCTCCTGGGGTGGCATGAGAACTCTTTGGAGGAAAAGTGTCATTAATTAAGGCATGTTGGAGAAAGAAGTAAACATGGTGAACTCATTTCTAACTGGCTTGAAGTTGGCCCAGAAATGAGGCAGACAATTTCCCCCAAATTTTCCACACACACACACACACACACACACACACACCCTAAAATGCAAACCCTAAGATAAATGGAATTAAGATGATTGTTTCTTCTGCAGAGCACAGGGAACCGTGTTTAATATCTTGTAGTGACCTTTAATGAAAATGAGTACGTGTATGTGTACGGATGGCTGGGACATTGTGCCGTGCACCAGAAACTGACACACTGCAACTGACTGTCCTTCAACTTAAAAAAGGAAAAGATAATTCAAAAAGGAGCAATTAAAAGAAAACCTTCAAAGTTTAATTTTTATTTTTGATATATAGGAAATTTTGTAAATCATTCCCTAGTGGGGAAAAAAAATGAAACTTGACATTTTTGCTTCATTTTCAAACAATAATCCCACTGCACCACTTCGACTTCTAATTACCACGGGTCTAAAAGGAACCAGAGTGGTGTAACTAGTTTAAAGATGGAAAAGGGCATGCATCTGGTATTGAAAAGAGAAACATGAGCAAATTCACGGCAAATATGCAATAGACATCCGAAGGGAGTAATTACAGGAAAATTGCTCGTGCTGAAGAACATGGAAGGGCTTCATGTGTGAAATTGTAATGCTTAAGTGATATCCGACAACACGGAAAAAATCTCCACGCGCTTATCTAGTCCCCAGAGCAGCCCCCTGAAGGAGGATGACTGAGCTCCTGTCTCGTTTTATTTCCGTTAACGGGATCGCCTGTGCTTTCCTTGTTTTAACTCTTGTTTGAAGATTCCCGAGTCTTAATAACTTGTGGCAGCGAACTCTCCAGTTTAATTATAAGACATCTCATTGGCCATATTTCTCCGTATCAGATATGTTTCTCTTAAGCCTACCTCTTGCAGTCTTTTCCAACGGCACTACCATGAAGGGGAAATAAATTAGAGAACTTTTACAGGACGAGGCCAGGGCCGCTGGGGAAAGTCAGCGTGCCGAGGACGGCAGAGGGAAGCGCCACGGCGCACGGGCAGGACCTCGGCTCCGTGCTTGCTGAGCAGGCCGCGGACGTTATTATCGCGCTTCCCAGGGTCTCGCTGCCCCAGGCACTCCCCACCGTGCTCAGTCATGTTGGCAGGCATTCCTGGAAGCTCGTATTTCCGCCTTTGATAAACATGATGTTCGCGCTTTCCCATGGCATCATGTACCGAACCTAGTAATGTCAATAGATTCCACCCACGGATTATTCCCCCCAAAGCGGTGCCGGAGGATCTTCCTCGTTCCAAGGAATTGAAATAATGGCTGACAACAGTGCCCCTCCGTGGCACTCCTGTGTTTCTTTCCTCCCCCAAGCAGTCTTGGAATAAATACCATTGTATCTCTCTTTCTCGCTTCTCTCTGAACTCCCAGCTGCATTAAACTTCTTGCAAATTGAGAAGTGACTTGCATGGTCGGAGAGTTTGACCTGGTTTAAAGGTGCGAGTGAAGGAAGCGGGAAAACCTGGGACACTTACAGCCACTTACCATCCTGCTCACCCTCAGGAAGTCTGCTTACCCTCCCTAAGCTTCCACTGCCTCCTGTGTCCGTAGAGGGTAATGGCCACACCTCCTGTACAGGGTTTTGTGAGGACTGGGGATAATCCGCTTGGAAACGACCGCACACTGCCTGACAGACAGACAGACAGACAGACAGCACCTGCCAGGCCTCCTTATCACAGTGATGATTTGCAGCTTTGCTCTACCCCAGCCACAACAAATACAAGTCACCACTACGTGCTGGACAAGTCCTTTGACCTCTTCCTGCGTCACATTTTCTGAATTAAGATACACCTCCTTGAAAGAGTGATTCCTTCTAACCACCAAATTTTCATTCAAACAATAACCATACTGATTGGCTGCGTAGAGAGGCCAACGATAGGAGATGCTAGGGCCCGCCTCCCGCAGCCTCCAGTCCCACGGGCCCGCCTCCCGCAGCCTTCCAAGCACTTCTGAAACCACCATGACTACCGCGGTGCTTGAAGGCACCACCGACTCTAGCCTGATTTACTACAAAAAGGTCTTCTCTCTACTGGACTTCCTGGTCACTTTGTGATCCGTTCACAACAACAATCTTTTCAAAAGAGGAACTACATGACATAATTCCTTTGCTCAGCACCCTCCAGCTGAAGAGCAACGCTCACGCCTGTAAACCCAGCACGCTCTGGCCGCCGCCGCCTCCCGCCGCATCCGTGAGACTCCAGCTCCTCTCGCTCTTGCTCACGCCACGCAAGCCGCAGTCGTTTTTCCCTGAAGTTTACTGGCCCCTTAGCCTGAGTCTTTAGGCTTTATGTACCTTCTGCCTGGAGCATTTCTTTTCTGGGTACCAGGATAGACCTGTCCTCACACTCCTTAGGTCACTTCTCTACTGTCCCCTCCTCTCCACACCCCCCAGACCATCTACTGGGAACCACAACCCTTTGCAAACATTCCCTAACTCCTTCCCCGATTCTTCTCCATGATACTTACCACCAGCTGGCACATTTTATTTGTCCAATTTTTTCTCCTCACTCTGGAATGTAAGAGATTACGGTATGGATTTGGTTTTAAGTCTGTTCACTGTCCTACCCTCAACGTCTAGAGCTGCACTTGGAATCTGAAGGCAAGCTAAATGTTCAGTGAAGACTGCTGAATGAATAAATGTTTCCATGTAATGGTCAAGTTTGGTTGGGTTGGAGGAAAAGCACAAGAAGAAGTAAAAACAAGTAACCCCACCGCTGATTCTCCCAGGATATCAGCTCAAGCAGGTACGTTTTGGGTCACGTGCTTCTGAATCCAGTCATAGGAACTCTTCAATCAAATTTAAGCAGTCTTACGTTAACGGTTTTATCATTCTGGAGGCCTTCAGGAAAACCTGAAGATTATTCAGCCAAGTTGTTGGAATTCCTGGATTCAACATAGCTAAAAAGTATATGTCATGCTTTTCAGAAAGGGTGAGACATTAGGGGCATAAAAAAGTTTACAGGCAGCGTCTATGGCCAAGAGCAGGTCCTGCGACCCCCCATTCCCGCCGCCTCCCCCTCACACACGCCGCTGCCTGCAGTCCGGGCAGCTGGGCGGCAGCGTGATCATTTCTTTCTCCCCCACCCCATTTTTCTTCCACTATTCACTTCTTTTGGAAATTCTCTCCATGGTGAATCCAGACCAACCCAACAATGCAGGCCTCTGTGAGTGGCCGTTAGGGCTGTCACCTCAAGCTACACACATAGACAGGATTTTTGAACTTAAATGTCCTCTCTCTGTTTCATGGATGGACGGGGGGTTGTGTGGCTTCTGTCTCAATTCAGAAAACACATGTTTCTGCCGGGGAGAGCGGGTGGGGGCTCAGTCCCACCCGCGCCCCCTGCAGCTGAGCCTCCTAACCCTCCCTGGAGCCGGGCGGGGGGGCGGCCAAGAGCTGGAGCCTCCGACGTCACAGGCCCCGCCCGCTGGCCACCCTGCCTGGCTGCTTCCCTTCTCTGAGGGGTGTCAGAGCCTTCCTTGAACTGTTCTTCAAAGTGCCCGTCATCTCATCATGCAGGCTCACCCCCGGGGCACTGGAAGAGGTCCCGACCATTGAGAGACCCTTCACTGGACTCACCAGAACGATTACCTGAAGGAGAACAGGTGTGCCCACGAGGCTTCTTGCTCAAAAGAGAAAGCTAAGCTACAGCACGGCCAGATGTGACTTCTCCTGGTATCACCAGCTTAGGTCATCACTTAGGTGACCTAAGGGCCTGGTTTGGGTCACAAAACCCTTCATCCACTGGGTTAGACAGGCTGTCCTCACTTCCAGAAACTGCCCCCTGGCTGGGATTCAGCATTTCCAGAAACGGCCTCCCTTGCTGACCGATGGATAGATTAGGAGGGGTGACCTCAGCCGGTAAGTGCCCAGCTCACAAGAACTCAGACATGTGTTGTCTGGGAACCTCGACCACAGAGATCCAGAAATGTGAAGTGTTCAGGTGCCTCCGTCCCTTACGGAGGCCAGCTCCTAGGTACACCAAGCTGCAGCACGGGTGGTATGTTCGTGTGACATTGTCAACACGGAGCAGGCCACACTCTGTTCTCGTTTAGCCTCGAAATCAACGTCGTGTGCACGAGACCTCAACTTCGCCGTGTGACTGTGAAGGACAGAAGTAGGGTCAGCAGGCAGAACTGAGATTCCGACTCATCACGAGGACTTTCCAACAACAAGAGTGACAGCCTGGGGACGGATGTGCTGGTATCTCGGACCTTGCATCTCTCCTCATCCTTCCTGACAGTAAGACCTTGGATAAGGAAAGATCTAGCACCTCAGAGCATCGCTTACAATGCTCTAATTATCTACCTTACGAATCAG